AAACAATCGTTTAGTTAAGTATAAATTATAATATAATATAATATATTATACAAATTATAAAAATGTGTCACTGCCTTCAAAAATACAGAACATACATTTATCTTAAAAATATTATTCAAACATATTAGGAATATATATTTTTAAATATTTATTAAAAACGATTACACCGATACGGGTAGATAATGTCATATTATATTAGTTAAGTAAAAATAATTAACGTGACGTAATTACTGATTTTAATTTACATTTTTTAAAGGTTTTTGAATTAATTACTGTCGGAAAATATTGTTTTATTTTATGTGTAAATAAAAAAAATATATCAGTGGTTTTATTTAATGACTAAAGCAACGGCTTTAACCATAAACATATTTCCATTTTTCAATTTATTTTACATTAATAATATTTTTTTGGAAATTGAAAATTTTGGTGTCTAAAACGGTATGAACCTTAACTCTGGAAGGTTAATATATAGACAAAAATATGTATTATTTTTTTTGAGAACCCAAGCATAAATATTTTTATTTTTCTGATGTAAGTACGAAATCATAATTTAAAATAATAGTGGAAACCTAAAAAAGATACCAATTATTTAATGCCATAAAAATGTAATATTAAAGTATTATTTTATGAAACAAAAAAAGGGTCTGAACTTCATACAGAAAAATAATTCTTATCGACTAAATATCAAATGTCGAAAAACCCAGCAAAGAAAGAAAACAATCCAATCAGTGTAATTGGATTCTGACACATATGAACGGACGATTTTTTTTATTACGTCGCCATAAATTATAACTGCTATATCATAAAATACCACATGGTATCTACGCGGTATCACAATAAAACATATTATGGTGTGAGGGGTGTGCGCCACACTTCTAAAGATTAAGTCATCCTCTTGGGGGAATTTTAGATCACCCACAGATTTTAAGAAATCAAGGGAAACACATGATTTTATATATTGAATTTACTAGGATTTTGGTATTAAAACAGAATTCTAATTATGGAGTTCGGTGAAAAAATCAGACAAATCAATTCTTTAAAATTTGTGGGAAATTAATAAAAACTATTTGGCAATTAAGTAATGGTTCTATGCAACAATTTTTGTAATAACAAATTCTTGCACCAAAACAGTAAAAGGTACACAAATAAAGCAAGCTTATTTCGTTAAACATTTATTTATTGTAAGATATAAAACACAAAAAAGTAACAAATACTATGGTAAAAACATTGTGGAACTCCAAATAATGACTAACAGCTTTTAATGTATTTGTTACATAAAATGTGCAATTCATTAGACTAGTGAACTATTTACATATGTCACATATCACATGTCAAAATCGTGATTGAAAATACCGTTGCGTTATTTAACCGTTTTTTTTTAATTTCTCGCGGATTTATTTAGAAATTACATATAAATAATTATATTTGCATTGATTATAGTATATAGTGCAATGAAGCTAATAAAAAACCATGCATGGACTCACTGAGATAATCGCGAGAGAATTTGTTTGTTTTGTCTTATAAAAAAAGAAAAAATATCTAAAATAGGTGGAAAGGTTCTGGAAAAAGTTCATAATGATATTAGTGAAACTGTAAGTCCGAAACATCAGCAGCAGTTACTATCGCTCTTTAAAAAAAAGAAAAAAAAAGTTTTACTAATATCGTTTTCAAAATTTTCTTCTTTTACTCCAGGTTTACACTTATGTTTTTACCGCGGCCACCAACCATACTTGACAAACATTTGAAACATTTTTTCATCAGACGCTTTTTTTCTTTTTAAAAGGGTTTATTTTTAGCACTTTTATAAAATAATTCCCAATTATTTCCAATTAGAAAAATCAGGTAAATTTAACGTGTTTCTATGAATTTCTTGTTTAGCTGCTTTATATAATAAAATTTCACAACTTTTGCTAATCGTTTATCTTCTACATCATATACTAATATGCCTTGAACCTTTTCCAGAATCTTTCCACATATTTTAGACTTTTTTTTAAGACAAAACAAACAAATTCTCTTGCGATTATCCGAGTGAGTCCATGCATGGTTTTTTATTAGCTTCACTGCACTATATACTATAATAAATTAGATATAAATATAATTATTTATATCTAATTTATAAATAAATCTGCGACAAATTGAAAAAAAAACGGTAAAATAACGCAACGGTAATTTCAATCACGATTTCGACATGTAACATGTGACAAGTGACATATGTAAATAGTTTACTAGTCTAATGAATTGCACATTTTATGTAACAAATACATTAAAAGCTGTTAGTCATTATTTGTTCACTAATTAAAAATCTTAAAAAATTGATTATAAATCATTAATGTTATTATAAAAATTGACTTTTCTAAAAAAGTGCCAAGCGAATTGAGTTTATCCTGAAAAAAAATTGTCTTGTAAGTGATTTTTTATCAAAATAGGTATAAAAAAAATCGGATACGTCTTAACCTTTCAATTAAAAGTTATTCAGGGACATGATCTACTTTAAGGAATATATGTAATACCACAATAAAGAGTGATATTAGAACGGTCATATTCCGTAATAGGAGTAAAAAAAAATATTTTACGCTCTGATAAAATGCGTAACTATGGAATACTGATTGGTTCTAATATTAATAAATTGTAATTTCAGTGAAATGTATGCTCGGCAATATTACAAGGTTTCTTTCCCTGGTCTATAATATACTATTGTATGTGTATAACAATTTTCATATTATAACACTCTTAAGCCTATAGAGAAAGACTTTATAGTTGCACGTAGTTCAAAAGTAGTAAATAATAAATAGTTATTTGTTTTACAAGTTTTGAAAAGCGACTTTTTCATGAGAGTGTTTAAGTTGCTCACGAGACCGCCAGGCCGAGTGTGCATTAACACGAGCTTTTCTTACAAGTGAAACACAATGTTTTTTCTACGACCCTTTTATTTTTTATTATATTCAAATACAAAACAAAATAACCTAAAAACGTGTTAAAATTACTTTCATCTTATTCTTTTAATTTTTAAGGTAGGTATGAGTTACTTAAAATCAATAATTTTACCTTCTTAATTTAAATAAAGGCACTAAAAATTGGAATTTATTATACAAACACTTGGAATTTATTTTCACACAGACCTTGTCACTTTTCACACAGAAATATCACTTTACATTCGTGTTTTGCCTTGCCAATAAAAAGATTCATTTTCTAAGCAAGGATGCCAATATGAAATGTGACTTTTACATAGTGGTCGTAAAAAAATACATTGAAATTAAATATACAGAGTGGTGCGAATTTCATTTTCCATCATTAACATCTTATGAACCGTAAGTTGGTTCTTACAAAAAAGTTGCGCTACTTTATGACCATTTCAAAAAGACTAAGAAATCCAGGATACCTTTCTGTAGCAGTTATGTAATTTCTTAAATAAACTGAAGAAGTCTAATTAAAAAAATACTTTGCAGCTATCAATTTGAACCCTAAACTTTTTAAATGACACGTCTGATGATATAAATTGTTTTTTCTTCGCCCACTAGTTTTTTTAGATATCATGGCCAACTATGATTTTTCTTATGGGCGTCATATTAGATCATTAGATCATCAAAAAATAAGACACATTTTTCTCTTTACTACGATGTAACACACTTGTATCATTTAGGTTTGATTATCATTAAAAAATAAATAAAAGTAAACATTCCACTACAAAAATTAAGTTGCCTTGTTTTTTTAAACACCTAAGCTATATTTGTGTTTTTCACTATAAATGAGAAACTTGAATACTGTCAAAATAGCAATATGCAATAGTGTTAATGCTTTATAAAATTAGTGATTTGATACGAAAAATAATTCAAATGTGACGTAGATATTTAAAAAACCAAAGCAACTTGACTTTTAAAGTGTAATTTTCACTCTAATTTAGTGCTGTCACCGATACGAGAGATTCTCGCCTCTCGTCTCGTCTCGACGAGATTTTCTCTCGAAAAAAGGCTTGAGACGAGACGAGAGAATGCCCTCTCTCGCTCGAGAATTTCTCGTTTCTCTCGATCTCTCTCGTTCTCTCGATTATTTCAAATTTTTGCGAATTACTCAAAATATTAAATCGATTTAAGATTCCCAACCTGCAAAATTTCAAATCTTGTCAATTCGGAGATCGTCAAAACGTTTTTCTGGCCAAATTAAATGGACCAATGAGAACATTATTCGCATTTCATAATAAACAAAATGTTATTTTAAAACACAACTTAACGTTAACCAAGAAAGAAATACTTATAAAATAATAATAATAATTTTTATAATTTACCCTGTATAAGCACACCTATGTCACTCCTTATACTATTAAAAAACCCTTATGCTTATTCAATAAACTTATCAACAACATGTGTTTTTAAGGGGCTGATTACAAATTTGATATCCATTTTTTTTTAAATAAAATTGCTGATCCAATATGATGAAAATTTGTCGTTCGGCTTTAATGGTTTGGGTAAAATTCAGTATTTAGATATTTATGGGGCCTCTGATTAAAAATTTGATATCCATTAAAATAAAACAAAATTGCGGATTCAAAATGACGGACATCAAATGCGATAAAAGAGTTTTCTCGACGAGACGAGAGACCCATTTTCTCTCGCTGCACGAGACGAGACGAGAGAAGGACTTTTCTCGCCTCGTCTCGTCTCGCGGCATCACTACTTTTATTTGGATAATGCTTATCAAAAAGGAACCAAGAGCCAAAAATATGTCTGGGTTTATTTGGCACTTATAATAATAATATTTCTTGATGCATTACATTTAAATTTTTACCATCATTTACTTTTTTGTAATTTAACCAACTTCGTATCTCTTGTGGTTCATGAGATGCCCATAGTGGAAAATGAAATTCGCACCACCCTGTATAGGAAGACTGTGTTTTATGATGAAACTTTCATCCATATCATTTATTTTGAAATCAGTGTAGGTACAATCGTAAAATAACAGGCCATTGTAGAAAAAATACTAAAATAAATTTTCCATTTTTTCAGGTGGCATGGTTAAGAGTAGACACTCAAACTATTTTAACCATTCACAGTCATGTAATTACGAAAAACCATCGTATTGCAGTAACCCATAGTGAACATAGGACATGGTACCTTCATATTAGAGATGTGCGTGAGACTGATAGAGGATGGTACATGTGTCAAATCAATACTGACCCTATGAAAAGTCAAGTAGGATACCTAAACGTAGTCGGTAAGTAAAACAATAACTATAAAAAAATATTAAAGCAATCTATACCTATAGGTATTTGTAAAAATTAATACTTCGCATTTAAAACTTGAGATACATTGAAAACGATCTCGTAATTTCAACTTTATGAGTACCTACCAAGTTTATATTGCGGTTTTTATTGACCACATTGCGGCAGATATTAAAGCTTATAGATGGTTTTAATACGAATTTCCCAGAGTTAATGTTTAAACTTTATTAAAAATTTTAACACATTCTTTTATTTGCCAATTTTTATTGAGGTTTCAAAATAAAAATAAATGTTTATTAATGTATGATAAACTAAACTAAATTATAAGTGCAAAGCAAAAACAATTTTTACCCGACTATTCCACTCATTACTTTTTGGACCAATCAGATTTCAGAAAACGAGTGGTTTTTTCAGTTTTGCAGCGATAAAACTACTATTCAGGTGAAAAAACCACTCGTTTATACGAGTTGCATAACAACCAATTGGTTGCTATGATAAAAATAATTGTCACTGTTGACGTTTTTAATTTTAAAATTAAAATGTTAAAAAATATGCGTGTTGGTCCAAAAAATCATACAGAAATTGAATCAGCAGTTAAAAATATTCGTGAAATAGTCTTGCTTTGATTTTTATTTACTCAAGATTTTTCCTTGGAAATTTCGCTCGTGGTATTAACTTCAAACCACTCGCCTAGCGGCTCGTGGTCTTAAAAATTAATGCCACTTGCGAAATTTCCAAGAAAAAAACATTCGTATAAAAATCAAAAATTTTATCGGTAAAATTTTACCACTAGTGGTATTATATACGATAATTACACAGGTCGCACTAATTTTTTTCCTTGGAAAATTTATTTTCGGTAGTAAATGTTTCAAATCCTATAAAATGTAGAATCCATCGAGGACCGGTCATAAAAACTTAGCGAGCGTGGAGCTAACCGTAAAACCATATCTAACAGGATTATATAACTGCATCTTTGGAAACCTTTTAAAAATAACCAGCCCGCAGATTTGCCCATGGCCGCCGTATTTTATAAGTCTCCTAGGTGGCAATTATCCCCTTTTAAATTCATCCTGCAGGACTGTATCCAAAAAAATGATCAGTAAAATCAGATGGTTACTATAATTTAGTTAATCGTTATAATTATATCAATAAGTTTAAAAAAACATATAATTAAAGAAACATTTTGGATAATTAATAGTAATAATACTGAAACTGTTTTATCAGAAATAATTATGATTTAAACAAAAATGAACATCCACTAAATTTGATCCGTTAACGTTTACATAATGCAAGGTTTTACAAAATTTTAAATTTTTTCATAACTAATATACAATTGTTTTTTATAAAAATAGAAACAAATTAATTTGTTTCTATTAATGGTAAACGCTCTAAAATATAACTGATAATAGTATATTATGTATCAAGTTTGATAAACGCTATAAGCGAACTTACAAGCGAGTGCTTAAATTAATGAGTGTATAGAAAAGTTTATAAACGAGGTGCATACTATACTTTTTTACGACAAATTCTTATTATTATCTTAAAATGATTTAAATCAGAAATTTGTATAGAGCGCCATCTATGAAACAATAGGGGAATCTGTGTATCACCGTCAAATGTCACATTTTTATATTTTATAAACACAGATTATAAAGGTTATAAATCGAAATGTATTTCTTGAAAATTGACAGTTTTTCACAGTGAAATTAAAGAAAATGCTTTATGAGGACTTTACAGTGGAGTCCGTGCCCGAATTTAAGTTATAGTTTACTGCCGGCGAAATTAAATGGTCAGTACAATGTTCATATAAATTTTTCAAATATTGGCCTTGAGAAACTATTTAATACTTTTGAATTTTTGTATTGATATAATAAAATAATTTTCATATTTTCAACTAACTTAAAACTAACTTCAGCCCGTTACTAAAAACCTGTTGCTAACTTCAGCCCTTGACTAAAGCGTCATAAAGCCACAACTTGTCAATGTGTATTTAAAAGGTCACTTAGTGTCAGGGAAACATGTACGATAAAGGGCGTTTTAAAGGTGGGAGTAGAAAAAATACATTTTAATAATTAGAGAAAAATATTATGTAAAATTTGTTAATGTGTTAGAAAGAAAATATGTATTGTACGTTTTATGAATTGAACTGTAATATTTTTATTTATTACAATATAGAATAAATTAATTTATAGAGGCCGGACTTTTATACAATCCCATTTTTTTTAAATTTATTCTTGTTTTGCATTTAAAACTGGTTTTTAAAACATAGGTACTAAAACAACTTTTCGCTGATTTTGTTGGTAGATGCAAAAGTAGGTACCTAAAAAAATCAAAAAAAATAAATTTTTATTGACTTATGTAGGTATACTTTAAATTTAATAAAGCTTACCGCTCCACGGTACACTCGGACAATAAGCTTGCTTATCTTCAATTTTGATATTTCGATATAAAAAATCAGGAACGAGAGGCTGAAGCGGATTTGAAAAAGTGTGCAGAAAAACCGGAAAGGTTTCTTGCAACACAGAAAGAAAACGACGAAAACAATTGGTAGATTTCAAAATTTTCTCTCTGAAAAGGAAATACTACTAAACAATGTGAAGTTTATGGTTTATCCGAAACACACAAGTTGTGATACATAACATCTATATGCTACAGTAAATGTCTAATTTTTTTAAAATCTACACTGACTAGCTAATGTTTACAATAACTGATTTTGACAAGTAAATGTATTCAGAAGCACATTAACTGGCTTACTTACTAGTAGATTTATAAATACGCAACAAAGGTAGCAAAAGTGTACATAACCAACCCAACCAACAGTAAATGTATGCATTTACCAGTAAAAGTACAGAACATTTCACGCGGATGTATATACAAGCTAGTTACTGTATTACGAGGTGTGTTCAGAAAATAACGGGAATTATTACATTTTGCGGCTTCGGAAGGTCCGGTTGTCATAAAATTTTGCTTATTATGTTGGTATACATGCCCCCGAAGAATGATAAAAACTTTAGCTGTTTTCATTGTTTACTTCGTCTGTGGCAGCCGCTAAGGTTAGACGTGTTTTATGAGCTCGGCGATTTTTGTTCGTTAAAAGAAATGGTCTTTGATCCATTTGTATCCAATTTTGCTTAAAAAATTAAATAAATGCTGTAAAATGTTAACAAAGGCCTATAGTGAGTCTGCTATAAGTAAAACAAGACTTTACAAGTGGTATAAGAGTTTTCAAGATGGCCGTGAAGACGTTGAGGATGACGAACGCCCCGAACGCACAACTTGTGTGGCACAAGCACATTAACAACCGATAAGAACATGAAAAAAGTGGAAGAAATGGTTATAAACCATCAGAGAAGTCGCTGATGATGTTGGTACATTGATTGGCTCATCCCATGAAATTTTTTCAAATGTTTTGGGTATGAAACGCGTAGCAGCAAAATTTGTTCCAAAATTTTTAAATTTTGAAAAATTTTTTTGGCCAAAAACAGTACTGTAATGATGCCCCAGCCACCATATTCACCAGACATGCCTGTCTGACTTTTTCCTATTCCCAAAAATAAAGAGAACCTTAAAGGGCCGTAGTTTTGCAAGCATAGATGACATTAAAAGCGCATCGCTAAAAGAACCAGTGATGGGTCAAGAAAGTTTTTTAAAGAAACTAAGAAAATTGAATGTTTACCTTAATGTTTAGCCCGTTTGGGTTAATTCTAGATTTCTTTAGGCCATATTAGTATCTGTGATACAATTGCTGTGTGCAGTCCCGGTTGCATAGTATGTACCGATTGCGGCAAAGGCCACGTCGTTTGACGGTGTGGATCACCTGATGTTCTTACATCTCGCCTCTGTTGACTTAACAACCGAGCATATAAGCTAAGGGAGTAATTTGTTTTGATTGTGTTCCACTACACCAAGTTGCCCGACACTGATGAGACCCAATAAAGGTCGAAACAGCTGTCTGTCGGTATTTGAAGTTGGTGGAACGCATTCAAAACAAAAATCTTTGGCGAGGTGTAGGTTCAAAAGAACTAAAGGCTATCCCAAAGATCGAGTTTTAGAAGTGTTTTGAGTATTGGAAGAAGAGCTGGCACATGTGCATAATATCCAATGGGGACTATTTTGAAGGCGACAACATTAATGTAGACGAATAAATAAATATTTGTTTCAAAAAACGAAAATTACCGCTATTTTCTGAACACACCTCGTACACAATCTAGTTACTGTATTATACTTTTATACTTACTTATAAAAGTATACTTGATGCTTGTAGTAAATGGATGCATTTTCCAGTAACTGTACGCCTAAAATTTTACTAATCAAAACTATTTTTTTAGTTCCCCCAGACATATTAGACTACCCTACAAGTACTGACATGGTGGTCCGAGAGGGATCGAACGTGAGTCTTCGCTGCGCTGCCACTGGCAGCCCAGAGCCCACCATTGCGTGGAGGCGGGAAGGCGGTGAGACCATTCCCGTGGGGGGTGGTCAAGAAGGTAAGATTATTTTATAGTTTATAGATTTATGATCTTGATAAAATACGCTCCCGCTCTCTTTGATTTATTTTCTCGCGTTTTGACATGGAGATAATTTATCATTTTACCGCTGTTTTTCTACAGTAGGGATTAGAATATAAAAGAATAAAAAATTGCAAAGGACATATGTTTAAAGGTTCTTTAGTTTGCACTGCTTCACAGTGATCCAATTTACTAACACAGCCAGACAACAGTCATATTGCATTAAAAAACTAAAAAAATATATTAAAATTAAAAATGTCTATTTACTTAACATTCTCTTTTTGTCATTTTTATAATTCGTAAGCCCTTTATACAGGGTATCCCATAATTAGCGTGCAATACTTTAACAACAGATTGCACATACGAAAATAGGAAAAAAAGTTCCTATAAACATAGGTCGAAAAATGCTTCCTAATTGAGCTACAGACCCCGAAAGAGGAGACCCTGATGATAATTCTTAAAATTTAATTTTTCTATCTTTAACGGTTTTGGATATAATAAATTTTATTATCTTCAAAACCATTAAAGGTAGAAAAATGAAATTTTAGGAATTAATTAAACTCCCTGTTACTTTGCATAAAATGTCACCGGTCTTGAATATTTTTTTCTAAACATGGCAGCCCTGTTCCATGGCCCAATCTGAATCTTTTTGTCTAGTTGTGATTTTATTATGAATTTTTATGCCATGTAAGGTAATTTTCAAATCGATTTTAAATGGTTAATATTATCGAAGTTTAAGAAGAAGACCTTTTTTGTGTGTAAACCTTCAAAATAAAATAATTCCATATTAAATCCTGGAACTAGACCCGTATAAAAAATTAGGGTAGTTTTACCCTTACTCCCCATCTATCTGACCCATCCCGCATGAAAAATTTGAAATTTTCACATTTCTATCTTTAACGGTATTAGAGATATTAAATAAAAACCATCTTCAGGGGCTCCTCTTTCGGGGGCTGTAGCTCCCTTAGGAAGCATTACTCGATCTATGTTTCTTATTTTTATTGAATTTGGTGGTTGTGCTTCAATACATTTCTGCAAAAATATATATATAATAATAATAATAATAATAAATTGTTTATTTATTGTCAATATTAACAGATTTACAAGAATACATAAAATAACTTATTTACTAGTATAATCGACAATAAAAAGGACTAAAAGGCAGTAAAACTGATATTAATTTAGCCCTATTTTGTAGAAATATTAAACTTAAATTATAAAATAAACTAAAATTATTTTATTATTTAGTAAATTAGAGCGTTCAATTTCCTACGAAAATAATATATATATATTTTTGCAGAAATGTATTGAAGCACAACCACCAAATTCAATAAAAATAAGAAACATAGGTCGAGTAAAAATAATTTTTTTCCATGTTATTTAAATGGAAAATGGTATATATATTATATATACCATTTTCCATTTAAATAACATGGAAAAAAAATATTTTTTCTTATTTTTGTATCTTGACATTTAAGCTTTGTAAAAACGAACTAAAAAATTATTTTCGTAGGAAATTGAACGCTCTACAAAAAAGTACTAATTTAATTTTTCATAGAATAAGCCGTTCTAAAGGTATTCAAACTTGCAAATGTATGAAATTATGACTTATTTTATTAAACTAATACTTTTTTATGTCTTAAAAATTATTTTAAGAAAAATAATTACCTATTTCCGTATAGAATAAAAATAACACTTACATCTCAATTTTTTTCCATTTTATTTTATTTACTATCAAAAAAAGTTTGTGTTCAATAAATTTGTTCAATAATTATAATAGATTAAATAAAACAATGAATTTGTTATTGTATTAAATTTTTAATCTTTCTTTATTTTTTATAATTTTAAAGTCGATAATTCTGATAAAAGATTATATCGGCTTAGTCGGTATATTACCGTTCGGATTACACAGGGACTAGAGGCCTGCTAACGTGCCGCGATTCGAAATGTTAAAGGCAACTTTAAGTTTGAATACCTTCAGAACGGCTCACTCTATGAAAAAATATATTGAAACTTTTTTGTAGAGCGTTAAATTTCCTACCAAAATAATTTTTCAGTTCGTTTTTACAATGATCAAATGTCAAGCTACAAAAATAAAAAAGAAATTTTTTTTCCATGTTATTTAAATGGAAAATGAAAAGTTAGGAATAGGCACCACTTAATGTAATTATTAAGAGCTCAAATTTTTAGAGGTTTGTTTTTTCACCTTCCTGAAAGATTTTAGCCTGTTTTTTAGTTGAAAAAAAAAGTTGCTTAAAAATGACACACCCTATTAAATATAAAAAGATTATTTTTAACATACATATTATTAATTCTTTTTTGTAAACTTTACAAAAATTCATTTTTTATATCGATATTTTATAGATTATTGTTCTTTTTATCGTGTTATGGACCTTTTATAAATGTGAAAAAAGTCACTTAACAACAAAACTAAAGAATCTAAATCCGCAAAAGTATCAATCATAATATTGTAAAATCAAGTAGGCTGCCTACTTCTATTTAGTAAATTTATTTATTACTTAATTATGCCTTAAAATTTCTTAAGTAAAGCAGAAAAAGGCTATACTATCGCCAGAAAATTAAATGAATTTTAAAGGAGGTATTCAAAGATTAAACAAAAAGTGGTGATCTACTTTCTAAAAATGAATTAGTTAAAAATTACTAATTTAATAGTATTAGTGGCTGCTTTTTCACTTGTACCATGGATAACTATAGAATACCATGGTATCCCGTGAATCCGAAAATACCGTCAAAAATTATAAAAGTGGAGCAGTTTTTGAGATATAGTCAATTCCATATTAAATGGAAAAACTGTTCCATTTTTTTAACTTTTGACGACATTTTTGGAATCAGGGGACATTTTTACAAAATAATTGGTAATAATTGGTGTCCCATGTGGTGTATCAAAGCACCACAGGTTAATAAAAGAAGAGATTGTACTTAAAGTTATATATTCTTTATTTTGTTATCTATATAATATGTGTAATTTAATTTAAAATTCATCTAAATAAATATTTTTAATTTCTTATTTCCTCCATATTCATGAATATCTTCTTATATTTTCTTAATTTATTATCTTCTTATTTCATTCTTCTTATTTAATTCGTGTATTTTTCTTATAGTTTTTCTTGGATTTCTTCTCATATAATTTTCTTTTATATTATCTGTATTTTGTTTATGTATGTTATATATTATTTATTTTATTTCTATTTTATGATGTATATTAAATTATGTAAATTTTATGATTATGATTCTTTTTTTGTTATTATTATGTTATCATGGATAACTATTTTTTAATATATAAGTATCAAAGATATTATCGATAGTCTTGAGACTCTCAACTAACAATGACACAAAATAAAGGTTATGTAACCAAAGTCACATCGACAACTTAAACCAACCCATGGCGCAATACTTAGCGCCAACACCATGGTTAACCATGGTACAAGTGAAAAGCAGTCGCTAATAACTATTAAATTCATTTTTGACTAATTCATTTTTAGAGAGTAAGTAAAATATGCATTCTGGCCTTTTAAGAAAGACACGTCCAGAAAACAACAATAAGTGGGTTAAATATTTAAGTCAAAACCTATTTTATAACTCCATTCAAGCCAAAGAGGAAACCAACTTCCATCATTCATTAAAACTGCAAGAAAACGATTGCGAGTCTATTTGACTGCGTGAGTGCTAAAAAGCTTCAACAGATGGATAATAATAAAAAGGAAAGAGTTGAATTTACAAATAGTTTTTTGAATCGCTTGATCCAATATCACGCAATTCAAAAGATGGTCTCTTCTGATAAAAAATTATGTCAGCCCTGCTACATTGGGCAACTAACAACAGCGGAAGGTATTCTGTCCATGTGTGGGCGTGGATATCTTTATCAGGGGCTGATAGAACTCATATCGTATAAGGGTGATAACGATATGTTAAACGTGAAAACAATGTAGTGCTTCCATTAGTGCATGAAAGATTTAATAACAATTTTATATTTTACACGTAACACCTTTTAAAACATTTTGATATACCTTTGCCTGATTGTAAGCAAATATTTTTATTTAAAGCCAATTATACAGTTGAACTAATGAGGTTACAAACTTATTTAAAAACCTCATTGAATTTAATGGTTACAATGTTGTCTAATTATTTTCATTCTCTTCTAAAAACCTATCTTAATTAAAACTAATTTGAAAAACAAAAAATTAACCATCATTAACAAATATGATAAACAAAAAAATATAAAAATCTCTTAAAATAAAGAAGTTTACACTGAATTTGAAATAGGATTCCTCAAGAGTACGCATGAGCGAAATCTTCTTTTAAGACTTTTTATTAACTAAAAGTTAACTTCAGCCCTTGGGTGAAATGGCATTTCGTCCACTGATGGACGAAGTAAAATTTCGTAAACCAGTTAAAAATACAATATAACATATAATATATATATATTTATATATATAATACTAAAATATAATTTTTATTAATTATTATAACTATATTAACCGCCAGTAAATAATGAATGATGTTCGTTGTTAGGCGTCAGTAATTGGCCGATGTAATCTACATCACGTGGTTTGGATTAATGGGGTTTAAATTGGCAAATTGAAAGAAAATAGGATTAAACCCGTCTGACAGATAGACAGAAGTTTTAATACATTTTTTTTATTTTTGTAAATTATTTTAATGCAGTAGAAAATAGTATTAAAGAACGAATATGTCATAACATGCATCGTGATAAGTTTATATATACCTATCCCTGGGCGATTCCATGATTACTAACGGGACAAAAAAAAGAACACAAAATGTTTTATGGATATTTTAAAAATCATTTTGTTTTCTTTCGCCTCCTGCACTATTTAATTAACTTTTGATATTTTAATTTGGACTTTCTTGGAATAATTAAATAAAAAATAGTTAAATAAAAAAATAGTTACAAAAATGGCGAATGCGCCGGGATAGCTTCAATTGGTTAACGTAAAATG